GTCCTCTCTGGCTCTCTCCTCTGGTCCCTCCCTTCTCCCACAGACTCTCCTCCGCCCCCTCCTTTCCTGGTTGGGGACGTGTTTGTTTTAGCCTTGAATCCAATTACAGTGCAGAAGAGCTGGAGGGGGAAAAAAAAAACCCAACCCTAGTGCCGTTCTGTGGCGCTGGCTGCAGGAGTTGAAGCCACAGAGGACAGCAGGGTGCTGTAGGAGGACCCATGGGTCGGGATGTGGGAGATTTTCTCCACCTAAGCATATTCTGGGTGGCTTGATTCCTCTATTATTCAGCATTTGTCCCACCTCAGCGTGGGAAGAACTAGGAAGCCCAGAGACTAGGGCCAACTGATGGTGGGGTCTTCCATATCCCCAAGACCTGGATTGGAGAAGGGGCCGGTTTACTAAAAGCTGGGGGTAGGCTGTACGTGGAGGCTCACGCTTGTAATCCTAACACTCTGGGAGGTGGAGGTGCCTGAGCTCAGGAGTTCAATACCAGCCTGAGCCAAAGCGAGACACCCCGCCCTCTTAAAAAAAGAATAGTAGGGCGTTGAGCTGTGTGCCTGTAGTCCCAGCTACTCTGAAGGCTAAGGCAAGTGAATCACTTGAGCCCAAGAGTTTGAGACACTATGGCACTCTACTGAGGATGACAAAGTGAGAATCTGTCTCAAAGAAAAAAAAAAAAAAGAGAGAGGTGGGGTGGGTGGGGAGGGATTCACCTGGCACTTGTAGAAAGCCACCTCTGTCCCACCCTCCCTCTCCTGCCAAAAATCCAAACTGAAACAAAATCCAACTACCCAACAACAAACCTCACAACCACACCAGAACTAGGGCTCCATCTTTGTAGAAAGACAAAGGTGCTCTCTTTTGTTATTGTTGTTTGTTATCTGGCTTCTTCTTAAATTAGAACTGGCTGGGCAGGAGAGGGGTGCAAGGCCATCAAATCTGGGAAAAAGCTAACCAAGTTTGGTCAAATTGCAGGAAAAGAAGGGCCTAGGAGTTGGGACTTTGGAGTTTAGTTCCACCTTTCCACTGGAAATGGAGGCAATTCCTTAAAGAGTAAAAGACTGTCAGAACAAAAGGTGGAGGTATTGGCTTGGCGCCTGTAGTGCAGTGGTTACAGTGCCA